GACATCAAATTCTGCTGAGATACCGCCTGCGCCGTCTCGCGCTGACAATAGCGTCTGCCGCCGGACCCTGGCCCTATTGTGAAGCGGCGGTGTGGTCCGACTGAGAAGGTGTTGAATGTGAAAGGAGGAACGATCGTAAACCTCTCTTACTGCGACGACAGAGAGAAGGTCGGGCTGCAGCGCGGCGACCTATTAATCGGCACTGAGCGGTGCCCTTTGTGGTCGCCCCGCGCGCTCACAAGGAGTCACACAGGGCTGCATTGTTGGCGCCGTGCAACTTCGATGAGCTCTATTCACAGCGATCATAGTGTACGCTGGATTACAGGTGCTTGGCCCGATTTGGCAATCAGCCATAAATAGAGGTGCTACATATGCCAGACGGGTTGGTCTATTGTTCGGTAATGCTGTGAAAGTTACGGCACAGGTCCTTATGTGAAATATGGCGAGACATTCATTCGTGGCTACAATCGTAAGAGTGTGCCTCTTGAGCCGAGCTAATTAAAACAGTGTCTGTTGAACAAGGAAGATATGATCGCTGCTTCTAAATTCATTTAAATTATTTTTTTAGAGATAAGCCTGCATGGTGACATGTCAGGGATCTTATTAGCTCAATGAACGTATCGAACCGAAGCGAGCGAATTCGCTCCTAACCAAGAAAGTGGCATCGACAGTTTTATAGATACCAAGCAGTAAACGGTGACGATCCTCCCTTCCACATATATGAGAACAAACAAAAGCCAGATGCTTCTCACTTCGGGGGACTCCTTTTGCGGGCAATGAGCCGGCACGCTAATCCGACAACTGACAAATGCCTCGCACGTGCAACAAGACGGGACCACGACCGACGAAGTTGTCTAATGTGCACTTTGTGGAGTCGATTTGTTGGCGCCCTTCTCGGGGCCGGTCTGTTCAGAGTTGGCGCCAGACGTGCCAGACAGGGGGCCTAGGGTCTGGCTCCTGTCATTTTAATGAGCTCGTTATCACCCATTACTCTGCCAGAGAGCAGATCTCCCACACTTTGAAATGTGCTGATTGAGCACAGCAGGGCAAAGCTGACTGCATTGTTAAAACAAAACGAAATGTTTATTCTGTTCGACATGTACCTATTATATGAATTTTTGATACACCATAAATCCTTTGGTCCTAAAAAAAACTGTAAATACAGATCACAAATCAAACGAACGCGTCATGACCAAAAACAGCGAATAGTTCCCGGGATATATTTCTTGGCATGGTTGCATCGTTTACATTTTCCTTTATATGCATACCAGCTATAACAGTTTTAATAATGCGTAACAAAATCTAAACACAAAAAGAAGCATTAACGATGCGTCTGCGGTAGGTCCCGACCCAAAAGTCCCCGCTACATGAGACCTGTAAAACGAGCCTATCTTGCCTGATGACAGAGACCATGGGTCCACCTGTGTCTCATCAAACGCAGTGGTCTGTCGACCGGTCCGGTGGTCGCTCCAACGCGGGTGGCCACCGGAAGGTCCCAGATTGCAGTCGTCATTGCAGACTCTTTCGGTGCTATTCTACAGAGCCAGCACGGCTTGATTATTAGCCGGACGCTTGATAAGCCGTCTCAGACCGGATTAATGAACTTCCGGCAGCCCTCAACTCAGCACCCTAATTTCGCAATTATGTGGAATGTTAGAGCAGGCCTGTGTATTACGCAAAGTAATTAAGTTGGCGACATTTCGACGCTCTACTGGAACACTTTACTTTCAGTCCCGAGAAGGACATCAAGTCGGTCAGACAGCTCAGACATTATTTCTCCAGGTCAAAAATAGTCTGAAGTTGTCCGTGATAAGGGTAGAAAGTAAGTACCGACAGCACTGCAGCCCATCAACGAATGAGAGAACGGCAGGAAATTAGGTCTGAGATACCTACCAGAAACCTAGAAACATACTATAAGCGAATCATTTGTAATTTTCATTTATGTTTCTAACACCCTCCGAATTCACCGCATATTTTTTCTGAATAAAACTGCACCCGGAATAGCGTAAAACCTAGTAGTTCAAAGTTGGTAGGTATTTGGTAAGCCCTTTCCAATTAACTGCATCTTCCATCCATGCATGCGGCGCTTCGCGCTCAGCTCAGTGTCTCCGTCAATATTCAGTCCGTTATCTACTGAAATAATCCGCTCTTTCTTCCACTGCTCGTAAAGTTGCATACCGACGTCATTTCTCATAGCAGCGCTATCGACCATTCCTTCCACCACAGACGGCCTGCCGCCGGTAACCACCTCCGCAATCCGCTCATCGCTCAACGTTTCCTTCCTCCCAGCACCCCTCCTCTACCACCCGGATCACCTCTATTCCCGCAGAAACCATCTCTCTGCGCCGAGTCCGACCGGGCGGCCCCGTCAATTCCAGCGGCGATCCGGCACTGATCCCGACAGTCCTCCTCAATATAGCACCAATCTCCGCGGCGGCCGGTCGCTGCCACCCAATCGGCGCCCAATCCGCGCCGCTAAGCCTGCCGCCGTTTGCTCGCCGGCCGCGCTGCGGAGCGCTCTGGGACTCTGTCGGCTCGGCGGGCTCAGCGTGGTTCTCATTTCACGGGCGCGCGACCGCCGCAGCGCCGACGCTCATTTCACGCGCCATATCCGGCGCCGATATCGTCACTTTAGACGGGCGACGCGATAAACCAGGCCGCCGACGGCCGCCCGACTCCGGTAAAGAGACGACGACGCGACGCAGACGCGGACGACGCGACGGCAGCGGTGGCGGTCCAGACGGCGGCGATGGTGCCACTGCCAACGGCCACGGTGGCCAAAGTGTAGGAGCGAAACAAACGGAAACGCGAAAGGAATGACCGGTGGAAGTGGGAAGAAACTGGCTTATCTAGCATGATAAGTTTGCTCGTTTGGCCCGGCGAACAAAATACCACTTTCTGCGAGATGATATGCTGTCATTAGTGTGCAAACTGCAATGGAGAAATGGTACTGACAGTAGGTAACTGAAACAAATGGTACACGCATAAGAGACATGATACAACTTTTGATGCCGAGCATGCAACGCTTATTCGATCCAGCTCGCAACTGCATACCCATTACCCATCGCTTGATAAATAAAAACGAACAGCGCGTCATACACGCAAAGCAAACAGATGTCACAGCGCACTTTTGACACCGCTGAGGTGCGTTTCTGCGCCACAGCTGCTGATGATGCCACCGTCTAACACATGCACGCGTCGAAATTCACCCCAGCATGTGCAGATCGCGTCAATAACCCGTAATATTCGCTCCGTTTAGGACAAAACAGCTGCTTAGAGCGACCGCAACGGGTGAGGTTCGTGACCGACGTTTGTTCAAGTGTTACAGTGACGGTTTCTTGTCGATCTCGTGTCACGGGGTGTCACGCTCGTGTCACTGTGTCACAGGATAACGGCAGAGATGACACGTCTGCGGTTAGCGCGCCGCCGCGCGGGTCAGGTGTGGGATTGTAATGCAAGTAAGGCCTACGGCCTACCATGCCGCCTGAGGTGAGGGAACTCGGGGACGCGTTGGAGGCCTAACTCTGAGTCACCCAAGGCATGCAGCGAATACCTACTGCAGGGACATGATGGGCTCAGGGCTGTCTGTCTCACAGGAAAAAAATATTCATGTTTCTTGTCTGATGGTCAGAACGGTCGCCCGATATTCACACTAGCGATTCATGTGTGAATTGGTTGTTCCAGTAGGTAATAACTCACGCGTGGTAAGAACTCCTTGCCCTCTTTCCCCCCTCTCTCCCTCCTCCCCCTCTCTCTCTTTTTCTCTCTCCTTATTTCTTCAATTTCCTCTCCATCTCACCGTGCTCTCCCCCGTCCCACACCGCCACATCGCTCACTCTCGTAGCTCCGATCGGCGGCTCGTGTTTCAATAACCGGAGGTGGGCCGGCACGGATAATCAGTCGAGCCCGATACCCGTCCGATTTGTCACTCAGATTAGAGGATCGTCCGGCCAAGATTGATCGCCCACCAGCTCTTCAGGCAAATTAGAAATATGGCGCTGCGGCAATCGCACCGCGACCGCGCGGCAATCGTGGCGCGACTGCTCGCCGTTCGAGTAAATTAGCTTAGCGCTGGACATGAATCCATCACTAGGTCGGTAATTGGTAATTGGCACGGTGCCAGCATTGTTTCACTGGTGGCTACAATTTGTCGGAGCTGCCTGAGAAGCTGGGGGATGTCCGATCAGAGATGGGCCAATTTTCGCCCCGGGCGAGCGTCCGGCGCCCGTCGGAGGGTTGATCACCGCAGCTCGACGGAGGGAGAGACGGCTGATCGGTCACTGCGGGCTGACCCCGCGCCCCGTGACACGCGACACGGACCGATCGGTCACGGCCCGTGCCCGTGTCTGCACGGATACGGACACGCCAGTTACCGATTGGTGGTGACCGGGTTATCGCACTGGTCGGGGAGGGGATGGTCGGGAATGACATGCCAACCCCAGAAGGTGCCGGGAGGTGGGATGGAGGGGCATATACTTGATGCAGAGGATCTGAAAGCAACAAACATGCAATGCATAAGTGTATGATTGACTTTATTGCCGTTCGTTATATTGCATGTAACAGCATTGCACTTCGCAGTTCATTTGTTTAGGTACACACTCAACTACGCATCTTCAAAATGTGCAAACTTCTATCGAACACGCAGCAATCGATGATACGCCAGACTGAATAAAGGGAACATAAAAATATCCTCGAAATAAATACAAATACTAAAATGCTATCGATGTGAAATAAGACTCATAAGTCACTTAGCAAACATTGCTAACGTAAATATAAAATAATTAGTTTAACCATTAAACGAATGACGATAAATTTGCGTCACAGACTGTAACCTAAAAAGCATTAAGGTCTGGCTACACTATGCGTTTTCTGCGTGCGTTTTTTGCGAGTTTGCGTGTTTTGCGTAATATCGTTCAGGAAAAAAGGTTATTATTAATTTAACTTCTTTAATATTGATATAAAAGTTAATAAAACGTTTATGTTAATTAAAAGTTTATATGAAAAACATATAACAAAAACGTAATGTCGTTTCGTTCTAGAACGATATTCCGCAAATCACGCAAACTCGCAAAAAACGCACGCAGAAAACGCATAGTGTAGCCAGGCCTTTACAATCACAAGTCAGTGCCTATAATTACGGTCTTCCTTATCTCGGTACACAAACAAGCACCCATATACACATACCTAGTTTCATGTCACTTGACTGCATACGTAAAGTCGATCAACGAAAGACTCAGTGACTAGCCACGTCTCTATCTAGTGCGGTATGGTTTACAGGGCACTCTAAAACCACTAAAGTGGCCTTCTTTTGCAATATATCACTTGCAAAATTGCAACATAACCGAGAGCAACTAAAAACGGAAACAATACGGTCTCAACACATATGGCCTTCACTCACAAATTGTGTTACTCCCTTAACACCAAACACCACTCACCTTAGCATTTTCAGCAGAAGCAGTATTTTCCCTGTGTGAAATTATTGGCTTCGTCTGTGGCGTTCGCATTGATTGCTCAAATCTACTCGTTGTTCATATAAGTCTGTTCTCATTCAGCTTAGCCCGGGCGATTTAGTTCAAACTCAGAACCGCTCGATCGGGATTCAGTCGCAGTTCAATGCGATGCCGGACAGTTGACATCAGGGACTAGTTTCCTGCCAATCTTCACAAGACTATTCCCGGCTCTGATTACAACTAGTCATAAGGCCTGTGAGAGCAATTAGCTAGGGGACAGTTTCGTCCAGTTCAGTCACCAGATAGGTTCATATCACCGCCATAGGTGCACCCATCCAGAGGATCGTGATCCGACTCGCCGTCCGAAAACTGCAGCTCGTCGGAGTTGTGGCACGAGCCAGGGAAAACCGGCTGCTCTGCGCCCACAGCCGGCTCGGAATATACCGGTGTTTGGCTGCTTTCAACGGACTCGTGGTATGGCATTGTTTGTGTGTGTTCGGGTGTTTCGGTGAACAGTGCATTCTGGAGACCAACGGATGATCCCTGATAGATCGCCTGGTCGCCTTTTGAACATGTTTCCGGAAAAGCTAGCTGTTGACTGTTCTCTGGAGATTCAAAGAATAGCTGCTGATTCATGACTTCAGCCGCGGCTGTTGTAAACGCCGTTTGGTGTTCTCTTTGATCAGCTGACTGTGCGAACATCAGCTGCTGCCCACTGTCCACCACAGGCTCTGAACAGACTGCCTGTCCGCCATCAGTCGTCTCTTCAGCGGGGCTGTTCACCGGCAGGGTTTCGTCTTCGTCAGTGTCACCATACTCCGTCTGTCCATCTACTGCCGCACTCAAGTATGGTGTCTGTTCAGTGCTGGTCTGTTCGGGGTGTACAAACACAGACTGCGGCTCTGTTCCGTCCGTCTGCGTGTAAACTAGCTGGTGTCGGCCGTCCGCCGCCGTAACGAGCGCTGATTGGTGGCTGCTGGCTACCGTGAGCAGCTCGGAGAACACGGCGCCGTCGGGAGCAGAGAAGGGCACGGCGGTGGTCCAGTCGAGCCCCGGACACAGGGTGGAGAGCGGCGCCGGCAGACCGTCACCTGGGAATGAAACAGCGGGTGTCAATTCACATGGGAATGGTGCACCAGCTGATGCAGGCACGTCACAACATAGTGCGCATTGAATTCATTCCCAATGTGACACCATAGACGAACTGCATTTCTCTAGATTGCTGTCACAGACAGCATTGTACTTGTCAAGCAGTACCCTGAAAGAGAGCCTAAAACCGAGTTCAGAGGGCGAACGCAAGTCTCAAAGCTAGACTGAGAGGACCTCAAACCTACCTGATGTGGTTCTAGAGCTTTTGGTACTTGGTGAACCCACGGGCTTCGAATTATCGACCCCCACAGAACATCCACTCTCTAGCCCTAAATCTAGACCTACTCGAGATTATCGGACAGGCGGTGGGTAGTAGTTACCGATTGTGATGGTAGGTGTCAGCACTGGCGGCGTCGGCTCGAGGGGTAGCATCAGGTCCTTTGTCAGGTCACTCAGGCTGATCACTGGAAACAAGCAAACAGACATTCACCTTAATATATGAACATTAAGATACCATTTACATGCAAAATAAGTTCAGTTCAATATGAAATGTATGCTCATTGCTCATGCAAACATTTTTTGCCTGCGAATAGCGAGATATTCGGAGGCATCACAAAAAAACAGCCGAGAGCAATGGCATCATCAATGGCATCAATGGCATCCTTTGCCTCAAAATGATTTCCAATACATATAATGGACACTCCCGGCACCCCAGCTGTTTCAGACCCAAACTATCGCTGCTTAGCTATCGTTCTTACGTGGGGCCGAGGTGGGAGGTCGCTGGTCCTCCGGTGGCGCCACCTGGGTTGACAGGCCAGGTCCGCTGCTGGCGCCCGCGGCGCAGACTGACGACGAGGCCGTCAGCTGCTTGTAGGTGACGTTCTCGCCCTTTCTCCATTTGGCGCGGCGGTTCTGGAACCATACCTGCCAAAAATATTTGAGCAGTTTGAGCAATCAGAGATTTGAAGAATGCTCAACAATTCGCATGGTTCCCTTGAATCTGCTGGTTTAGATGCAAGCATCGACTGAGTGACTGATTCAGATTCAACATATGCCAGAAGTTATCCAAAATGTGGCAACGTTTGGTTTCGGACTGAAATATGTGACACCTGACTCAATGACCTGACGCCTGCTCTCCCAGTTTCAACCTTACGCTTCTTCCAACTCACTGCCATGCATTATCAACGCTCCGAACCTCCCTCTGTCATGCCCACCGACCCCTCCGACCACCGAGCTCCCCACCCATCACTGACCTGCACTCTTGCCTCTGTAAGGTCAGCACTGGCGGCTATCTGCTCTCGCAGCACCACGTCTGGGTAGTGGGTGGCCTGAAACGCCCGCTCCAACTGGTGCAGCTGCTGGCTGGTGAACGTTGTCCTGTGCGCAGAGGGGTTAAGTAGGTAACCAGGTGAGATTACGTTGGGTTAGGTTACGGAGGGGCATGAGGGCAAAGCTAGAGTTATTTCCATAGAAGTTGATCGAGCAGAGTTCGTTTTGAATCGGAGTTGAACAAAAAAGTGTCTCGTTGTTAGCTGATGTTCTAAGTTCTAATTACCTTACACCACACAGGTAAGTAAATATGGATAATTTTCAGAGTTCAGTCCTTGTTTGGGCATGACAGGTAGCAGAAACGGACTTGCAAAAGTCCATTTCAGACACTGATTGTTTCATTTAGTCGCTCAGTTTACAAAACCAGTCACTCCATGAAGTCTCTCCTAATCCAAACTCCAGCCCCGTGGCCGGCGCCGGTCGACTCACCGGTATCGGCGCTGTTTCCTTTTCAGCGGCCCGGACAGTGACGTCAGAGTGATGACGTCACCACTGGCCGTGTGGATGGTGGTGAGGTCGTCCAACAGGCCCTCGGGGCTACAGTCGGGCCGGGGAGGCGGCTCCTCAGAGACAGTCGGCAGGGCTCCAGGGACACAGAGAGCTGGAAGGTAACGGGAACATAGATATGCCGTCAAAACGTTAAATGATGCAATTCGTTGAAAAAGTACGTTGTTGGCTGCAAGCCACTTGAGATCGATCAACGATTTATCGTTAAAAAAACATCATCTGAGCACCTTCTTGGAGTTGAAACTCGATCAATGTAAGCTTTCATTAGCATCCAACAAGCATTATGGCTTGACAACACAGCCCACTTCGAGCACCGCCACCAGCGCCATCTGCTGCAGAACGATAAACAGGCCGCGTTTGTAGTGCGGCACAGCATACCTTTAGGCGCTTACCACTAGTGCCATCTAGCGGTTGATATATAGGTCCCCATAAAGTACGGTAACGCCAGTACGATAGCTTTTCCGTCTTTTTCTTATGAAGAAAAGGAGTTACACCTTTGGGGAATAAGTTAATGGGAAATCACCTGTGCTAGGCTATGAACTAAAAAATAGACATTCCTTTTCGCCAGGTTAACCGCTACTTTGTAGCCAAATGAATGACACGCTGTAAAAGAAACGCTATTGTAGATGAGTAACCATTCCATAAAAACACGAATGATTTAATGCGATATGACATTTTGAATTCCACAACTTCAGTTTGACAGCATTCAGCAGCCCTAGCAAGGCGCCCAGCCCCAGCCCCAGCGACCGGCAGCGGCGGCGGCGGCGGAGGCGGTAGGAGGGTCGCCGTAATTACATTTACCTGTAATTGAATTGGCTGAAATCTGGTCAAGAGCGGGGCTTCCTAAGCGCTGAGCGCGGGGCGGGAGACCGTGTGGGACCGGCTGCGAGCTCTACACGGTGCACGTGTGGTCCAGTGGCTGCAGTGGAGGGTGGCTGGGTGGTGACTGAGGTAACACGAGTGATTGGAACGAACGGGAGAGTCACACACGGGATGTGAGGTAGAACGGTGAGAAGAAACGGTGAAACGGCGCCGCTATCCTTGTCTCGCTATCTACGAGACAAGGAGCCGAGTCGAGGGTTGAGTGCAATACTTGCGAGCGTAACAGACATAGGCGCGAGTGTGGCAATGGGTGATAGGCTTGCAAGTTGTAACAGCATGTAACCTGACTGATTGAGCTTCCGACATGATATAGCAGACAAATGGGCCGTCTCAAGGGCCATCTAGCTCACCTGACTGATCGGGTGTCTCGCAGGGCGCGTCGAAGGGTCTCGGAGACAGAAACGGCAGCTCCACGCAGCGAGATGTCCACGGCAGCATCTTGACGTCCGTCAGCGGCGCAGAGCAGCAGACTCGGAGACACTCACAGAGGAGACCAGTGAGGCCGGACGAAAGGACCACGAAAGGACCGACGAGAGACCACACTGAGGACCACGATAGGGACCATAGAAGGGACCACCGAGTAGATCACACGCTTTCGCTCGCCCACACCCCTGACGCCGCCCAAGTCCAGGGTTTTCGGTTGCTGGCCCCAGAGTTCTCAGCTGCCTCAGACAGATGGTTGGTGTCCGGCTCTTCAGCGGCGAGGGAACGTCTGAAGAGGTCTGAGGGAACGAAACGACTGGATGCCGCTGGCCGCCGACTGCACAATACTGTGTGTGGTGGTGAATCGGGTGATAGAGCAGACCGCCAGTACCGCGCCCGCTCAGTCAGTGTGGTCCTGCACCCCTCCGCTCGGACCCGAAGGAAGCCCAACAAGTCACTCCGCGCCGCGCGTCGCACCAGGATTTGTCGCGCTTGGCTGACCGATAAATCAATAGGAAGGCATCGCAGCTGGCGCAAAATGTGCACAAATTTACCGCAAATGTGATTTAAATAACCTGACACCGTAGCTTTTTGTGACAGGAAACTAATGAAATAGTCATAAAATGTAGCACATCTGAGGTAGGTCCTCGGTACCACGAATCATGTCATTTACGTGATACCAGTTTGTTGAAATTAAACTGTCATGGAGATTGTTGTTGTGTGGGATGAACGAAAATGAAAAGAGCAGACATGACTACTCAATGAATTATGACAGATACATGACCTCACAGCTGGTTGTGAAGATGGGACGCGTTACAACAATGGCATAGCGGTTGAACTGCCAAAAAAGTGAAATGAAATGCACCGATTCATGTTCGCTTTCAGAAACTCCACAACAATAGTGCACACGAAATGATAGATTTAGACAACCTGTATTGTTACACAATGAAAGCGGCACAATGGCTGTGCAGCATCACTTACGCCATAAAATATTAATTTAACGATGCCCTAGCCTTAAGTACAATGGTAATTATGCCGTGTCATGTCATGCCACTTCAAAGCAGCTTTGATTAGCCACACTCAACAGTAGCGTACCCGAAATGATCTGTTGACAAAAAAAAAAGACGAAAAAGTTTGGAGCCGAAGCGATAAACAATCAAAACACCACTGTTCACTAACGCAAAAAGCCCTGAATCCAATAATCATTCACCTTGTGAGACTGGACTATTCTCGAGTCAATCATCAGGAAATCAGCACAACACCTACACAACAGATGAGTCGATTGACGGACGTACACCTAACTGAGGGGTATTTGCGTCGGCCAACCAGCAATATAAGCATGAACAACCCGCATGCGAATCGAAAACCAGCAACATTTCCGAGGCCACGGAGATATTTGTAGACAAAGGGCCTTACTGTGTCTCTAGCATTCAACCATAAATAGCACGCCAGCCTGTGTCCAATCTTGACTACATATGCACTACCGCCAGTGAAACACGCCACAACCGCCTACCAGCCAATAAACAAACCAATCAGTCAACCACTCAGCTAACAACCGGCTACCCATCCGCCCAGAGGACCGAGCCGACCGACCGGCCGGCCGTTCATCCACCGAGGAGCCAGCACGGTAACCCTAGGTAGCCAGACCGGTAAAGCCGCTGTAACCAGCCTGGTAACCGCCGGTAACCAGCCACATGGCGAGCCTTTTCGACCGCCGGCCTCAATCCAGAATGGCTTACAGTCATCTAGCTAGATAATGATGTCAAATGATGACTTCGATTAATCCCGATTTTTTAAATGAAATTCCCAGCTTCCTGGTAATTCTATGAAGACTTCTACTTTGTGAAATAGCAAATGTTCTCGCTAGCGGCTAGCTTACAAGGACTAGCAATGGACCGACTGTCTTACAACGGCGAATGGGAGCGAGTCACGAGAAACTCTTTCTATGAGAAAGGCAGAACGGGAACCTGATTCCTATCAGGGGATTCCTGAATGACAGGCCGGCATGGAGTCTATCTTTGTAAGGCTAAATGGAGGCAAATTCAAAGAGGCCATCCGCTACTTTTTCTCTCTCCCTTTTCTGCCTAACCAGGCGGTTATACCCAGCCCATAAGAAAGTTGAACTACCAGAACCGTATAGACATTCCGTTACGGTTGACCCTAGTGAATGGTGATTTGAACAGGGGGACCTACCGGCTGCCGCGGGCGACACGATACTATAGTCAGTCAATGCACTCCAGAGTCAACCCCGGCCTACTCACGATAAAGCTGAGTCAAAACGGCGGCAGGCCGAGAGGGACGCCCGGTGCGCCGAGCTGACAGTGACCAGGCGCGGATACCGCGTCGTCCTGGGGCGTGCTCTCGGCGCCGCGGGCGGCCGGCTGACGCAGGCGGTCAGTGCCCGGTGGGGGCGACCGAGCTCCAGTGGCAATGGGCCAGACAGTAGAGACGACTTCATAGGGCAGAAGTCTAGCTGGAGACGGCACCGCCGTGAGTGCGCTGTCCGCCTGCAGTCCGCGGGCCGCCCGGACCTAAGTACTGACGCGAATTATGACGTAGCGGCGCCGGGGGCGGCGGCCGCGGGCGGGGCGGTTGAGCGGCGGGACCGAGGCCGACAGCGGCGGCCGGTCGGTCGCGCGTCTAGGGGACGGAGCGGCTCTCTACAACTCCTTCTTCTCCTCGGGCGCGGCCGGCGTGGGCGCTGCCGAGGGTCCGGGCGCGGCCGCCTCCGCCGCCTCCGCGGCCGCCGCCACTGTGTTGGCCGCGTCCGGCTCGGCCGCCCGCTGTGGCCGCACGCGCTTCACGCCACACAGTCGCATCACGTGGTGGATGGCCGGCACGATGAGCGGCCACGTGAGGAAGAACAGGTGCCCGCACAGGTAGACTGACTTGAAGAGGGGCCACCAGCGCCGGCGCACCACGGCCACGAACGGGATACACGAGTAGCCCAGGAATACAACCGTGTAGAGCCGCAGCACCAGCTCGACGGGGAAGCGCAGCCACGTCTCGGTGCAGAGTGACACGAACGACGGGTACTGCAGCAGCGCCCCCTCCACCTGGTCGACACGAGGGCACACACTCAGTTAGAGATACGGAAACGGTCAAGTGATAGACATGTCAACAGTCGCTCCTCACAGTAACAGAGTCAGAAAACGGTGACATCCACAAACGAAGTTAAAGACAAAAGGCACGTGTGCGCATACAAATATACAGACCGTTAGTCAGTAACATACGGATGTATTACATATCAAACACCGCATTGCGAGAGTCACACCAACAAACAACCACCACGCCAAATATCAAAGGCAAGCTTCGAGCACAAAGTATGACAGCTGTACATAAAAACCCAGTTCCATCGTTCCTACCCTCTTTCATCCTACATCCTCTCACCTTTCGCTCCCAGAGGATGATGACGAACTCCATGAAGAATAGGACGAAGTAGCCCAGGTGATATCCGTGCCATACCGCCAGAAACATGAGCGTCAGGAACTGGGACGCGTACCGACTGCCCAGGAAACGCAGACGCTTGTACACGTATCTGTCGAGGCAAGAGTGGTGGTCAGGGGACGGGGACAGTGAGGGTTCACGGCAGAGGAGGCTGGGAGATGGGAAGAAAAAACATCAATACGTGGGTGAAAAAATGTTTTTTATGTGTCTAGACTGGGGTTGTTGATAAGCACTACACAATGAATACAATATATTGTGACTGGTTGGAAGCACCAACAAAACTTGGTGAAACCAGCAGCTAGATAAAGTAACATTAATGCTTTCCGAAAGACAAAAAACACTAGCTTCCAGCTACAACCCAATAACGTCCCAGTTCCTCCACATCCCTCCACTCCCTTCCATGCCATCTTCAATACCTCCTCCCCCCCCCCCCCAAACGCGCAAGCCACCAATCCGACTCAACGTGCGCCCCGCCGCGCCGACTCACTTAGCCACCCAGGCGTTGGTGTTGACGTTGAACGCCGAGGGGTAGACCTGGAACTTGGTGGCGTTCTCGTAGATGCGGATACGCACGTTGGCCAGCCCGTCCCAGAGGTGCTTGCCCTTCGTGTCGCGCCCGTTGTACGTCAGACCTGGCGGCGCGGAGGAGGAGCGGTGTCAGAGGTCAGACACAGACCAGTTGGTGGCGCCACCGGTACGGTGCACCAACGACTGTGTGATGTGGATATAGAATGAACTAGCAATACATGCCGTTGATTTATGTGAGATAATAATATGTGACAGGATTATGAGCGATACGATTACCTTCATTACATTACCTCATAAATTCCTATATGAGTGGTAGTGTCTAGTGTGTCATCGAAATGTACCTTGTGGTAATGTCCTTAAAGGCGACGACCTCATAAATTGATACGTTTGACTTAACTCAGGCACGCATGAAACAATCAAACTTAGACTCCTCAAAACAGCAGAAACTGATCCAGACTTTAAAGACAAAAAAGTCACAGAGGTAAAACAAGTAGTAAAGCCTTCCACGATCTCGCCAATCATGATGCCGACTTTCACCGACTCACCAATCATGATGCACCCTCCCTCTGCGATCAGCCAGGCCGCCATGTAACGCATGAACACCACCTTGACCCAGATGCCGATCCAGAACATACGGCTCCAGAAGCTCAGGTCCTGTGGGGCGAGCGTGAACAGGACACGTGTAAGCAACCGGCTGGAGACTTCAATGGCATTAAGTGTTCAATAGTCAATACAATAGAATAAAATAATGCTTGACAAAAAATGTAAGGTGGATGAACATCAATACATGACATAAAAAAGATCCATCTCAATGTATTCCACACAAGTACATAACCTGATTACATTATCAACATTCCTAATACCATCAGTCATTTACAATGCTTATGAAACTCTAAAAAGCAGGAAGTAATAACAGTCTCCTGTAAAACAGAAGAGCTCGGCTTAAAACTTCATGACTGACAGCCATGACTCGTGCCTTATCGTTTCCACTCCGCAAATGAAGGGCTGGGCACGGACGTAAACCTTCTTTTACTCCCCATATAGTTGACGAGGTCCGGCATTCGGCCCACCGGTGGGCCGGTGGGCTGAATTCCCACGGCGACTAACAGATCACGGTCACGCCACAGGGCCTGTCCCTGCGTCGTCTGTCGCAGTCCGTCGGCCGACTCAGTCAGTACTGTCAGTTCTCACTCAGTCATGTTGGCCGCTGCACCGCAACTCCCGAGTCAAAGCGCCTTCTCTTCCCTGGCACA